AAATGTTCACTAATTTATTTAGAAATAATAAAGTATCTATTACATGTTAACATAAATAACATTTTTATGAAAATAACAATATTTTTCCCATATAAAATTGAGTGAGAATGAGAAATCACTTAAAGGAAAATAGCTGGATTCTCATGCCTGCCTCCATAATCACTTTGTTGTTTTGCTGTATATGAAGAAAATCTGCTCTCCTACAGTTAAGAAAGAAAAAGGATTTTTAAGTGATGGTTTCTTAAAAGTGAGCTGCAATGTAGAATCTGAAACCATATACCAATGAACTTTTCATACTATTAAAGTCCATTAATTTAGCTTGCACTCAGAATGGATTTTCCAAAATTATGTTATTAGTCATTTGGAAAATACAAGTTCAGTGAGTTATGCAGACCTTTAGTATGTTAACACAACTCATTATAGAATATCAAACAACTGAATTTCTTAATATCAACACTGAGCATACATCTTTTTACTATTCAGTTCTTAAGAATGGAAAGCATGCATAAAGCACTTCTGCTGCATATGAACAACTGTCTCAAGGAAAAGCACTAGTGTGTTTAGAGTTGTGAGTTGAACTAGTCACTTTTCTCACAGAACATGACTGTTACTTGAAAGAATGACAAACTGTGATTTTTCAGACTTGGGCATTTAGCCAACCTTGTGGAACCCCTGAAAGAATCTCTGGGGAAAAGTCCAGGAGTCCACATACTATACTTTGAGAACCATTAGGGTAAAAGTATTCCACAATTTCATGAATCATCATGTCACCAAGAAAACACAATTGCTAATAAAATATATCTAAATATTTCTGCTTAAATCCAAGAGACAAAAAATTAGCTCACAGAGTAAAATACATTATAAACCTAAACTCTGGCCCACATGAAGGATATTACTCAAGAATCTAAAATTCTTTTATCAAGCATTTTTTTCATCCCGACCTACCTCTTAAACACATTTTAGAATACAATTACATTAAGACCGCAAAAAAAGGGACAAAAACACTGTTACAGACATGTCAGATAATTAGACCATAAAACGCAGAATTTTAACTGTCCAGTAATAATAGCTAATGTTACTGCCAGGCATTGTGCTAAGCATTTTATATGGTTATTACATCTAATCCTCAAATAACCCTACAAGGTAAGTGCTATCAATTCCTATCTGAATTGACTGAAATATAAAAGTTGCTTGCCTACGGTCAGAAGAAGAATGGATGGTACAGTTGAGATTTAAATCAAACATCCTTCACTAACTCCTTCAACAAAGTCAAATGTTCATACTATGTAAAAATTATAGATTCATTTCTGGCTAAAACAATTTTTTTTTTTTGGTGTGTGTGGTGGGGGGAGAGTAGTATTTTTAAAAAAAGAAAGATAAACTCACCGTTTTTAGTTCCATCAGGACTTGTTCATCTACTCCATCATCCAGAAAGATGTCTCTCACATCATTAATAACATCTTCAATCACAGATCTGTATAATTTAGGCTTTAAAGAAAAATAAAAAAGACTGTTGAAAAAGACTGTCTTTCACAGGTTAAAATGTATAATGGGTTTTCACAAATTTAAAACAAACTAGTCATTTTGCCAACTAAAACTTATTTTAGAATATGACTTTGAAGATATGTCCATCCTAATAAAGACCATTTGCCATTATTAAACTGGATTTGATCACTGCTTATTTTAATAGAAATTTTAAGCCTGTTTAATGCAATTCATTAACAGAACATCCTTATGCATACAAGGTCCATTCAATTCCCAGTTATAATTTCCTGGGCTAGCCTGTTAGCTTGGTTGGTTAAGAGTTTGGTGCTGACAACATCAAAGTCCAGGGTTCAATTCCTGTACCATCCAGCCATCAAAAAAATAAGTAAATAAAAATAATTTCCCACGTTGTTGTCAAAATACTTAATGTGATATGCAATAATAGCTCTATGGGTTACTTATGTCTGATTCCTATTATTCTGTATTTCATTTGACCCCTGTTACAGCTCATAACCTCACCACTCAGTCTTAGGCTTCAAAGAACTTTATGTCCGGCAGTCACTTGTCTGGTAATAAGCCACATGCAATGTAATGAGTATTCAAATTTAAAAACCACCTAATTTCTGTTTTTGTGTCCTAATCTGAACTTTCAAGCTTTACCATTAAATTGTTCATATACCCACGATAACAGATCTCAAGGTCCCAGAGGAACAAGGTACACTGATCTTTCCCAGGATTTCTCTCCTACTATGGCCCGAGTGATGCTATGGAACAGAAACATGAACACTCTCAATGTTTATTTTATTAATTACTATTACTATTATTATTGTTGGTATTACTTGAGGTGGGGGGCAGTGGAATAGCTGGCTTCTACAAGGTTGCCAGAAGGATAAAATGAGTAAAATGAGAATAGATGTGAAAGCACTTTCAGCAAACTAGATGTTGTTTTGGTGTTTCTGAAGTCAATTACCCTAAAATCTTTTGCTTGGATATCCAGACATTTACACATACATATATGCTTTCTTCTGGTACTTTCTTATTAATGAGTCATTTTGCTTTGGGGCCTCAGTAAACCCAAAACTTCACCATTTAATGGATTCACTGCATTACAGTTGAAGGAAAAAGGGAAATGTGTATTCCTCACGAATACATAAAGAATTTAGCAGAATTATTCACAATTTTAAAAGCCTTACACTACTGATGTTTTTGAAAGTATACGAGAACATAGGCACTTATCTGAAGTAGGAATTCCTAAATCATTAATTTAAATTCTAAACCTAGGGTAAAATATTCGTTTTGACTAAATACAATGTAATTTAAATATGTCCTGATTTTTAAAAGACAGATATTCCAAACTTAAAAAACTGGTAAGTTAGGGGGGCCGTCACTAGCATTATTAACTGAGGAAAAGGTTCCTTTCAAAAGTGTTAGTTCCCGTATGCAAAGAGGAAAAATAAATTGAATTAAATTTTATATTGGATACCATGTTAATATCCAGTGCAGTAAAATTCTACTTAGAATTTTAACTTTTTAATACCCAGTTTGCAGCAGGTTTCTTCACTCTCATTACTTAACAATTCCCCTACACATAAATGTACCGCAGACATAAAATCCTATACTAAAGCTTTAGGCACCTACCTACAAGTATTTCTTTGAAAAGCTTCGTGTCTTTGGTATTTGTTACAGGTAAACACACATTGAAATATTAGGAGCTATATTTCCAACAAATTTCCTGAATACTTGGACAAAACACTACCAAAACCAAGTTCTCTGCAGCTAACACTTAATGTAAAAAGCATTTTTTAAATTCTCGACAATAATACACACACCTTCCAATACAAGAAAAACGATCAGACTATCTGATCTTAAAATTCTCTTTAAAAAAATAAAAATTTAAAAGTAAAATAAAAAGAAGAGACAGCAATTCGGATATATCTTCCCCTAGCAAATAAGGAAGGCAAATCCTAGCTGGCTACCTCAAAACAAAAACTTGGGGCTCTGAGAGTGGCTCCCGTAGGGTAAGAAATTACAGCCTAAAAAAAAAGACCTAGAAACAAATAGGGCTCTGCACGAGCCTGCCTCTCGCCTCGGGAGCACGTACCTCCCAGCCCCGCTCTCAGCAGCTCTCACTATTTAAAGCCGGATCTGGTGTTTAAATGGAGAGGCGGTGACGTAGGCCTGAAAAGCACCTTCCCATCCTGGCAGAGTCTATATTAGAGAGCGGCAATGGCTCTATATAAACAGGGCAGCCAAAGGGAGGAGGACCACAAGGCTCAGGGACTGAAAAGCAGGGTAAGCGGCCGCAGCCATGATGGGTCGACCCGAGTCGCCAACGGTACGGTGTCGGGCAGCCGCGGGCTTGTCTGCGGCATTCGGGACCGGGCAAAAACGTGTTTTATTGTCAAAACCGAAATAAGAGGGTTGGGTGGACTAGTGATCACATTGCGTTGGTGACTGACAAGGTTATTTATGTGACTGCTTTTGCAAACCTACGTAATCGCAAGTAACCAAAAAGGGGCAAACGAGAAGTAGACAAAGTCCAAGGCGAAAGCGGGGCACTTTGACCACTGTAATTATGTGACTGCTTTTGCAAACCTACGTAATCGCAAGTAACCAAAAAGGGGCAAACGAGAAGAAGTAGACAAAGTCCAAGGCGAAAGCGGGGCACTTTGACCACTGTAAGATTTTTTTGGTTTGTTTTGGTGCTTTTGCTGATCGAAGATAACGCTGGGGGTTTTGCTTCCCCTTCGCCATTTTACCCATTCGGAAGGAACTGAGATAAGTGCTTTTCAACCTTCGTCCATTTTTAAAAAAAAAAACAAAAAAACGTAAAATGGCCCCAGTGAGGGCTCCCAAAGCACAACCACCAGAAAGACCCCAAGAACCCCCCAATATAACCATTAACCTTCCACTGCAGTGAAGTGGATCATGCTGGGTCTCAGGGATTCGCCCGACTCCCCAGACACCGTTTTTGTTCCGAGGCCGCATTATAAACCTAAACTCTGGCCCACATGAAGGATATTACTCAAGAATCTAAAATTCTTTTATCAAGCATTTTTTTCATCCCGACCTACCTCTTAAACACATTTTAGAATACAATTACATTAAGACCGCAAAAAAAGGGACAAAAACACTGTTACAGACATGTCAGATAATTAGACCATAAAACGCAGAATTTTAACTGTCCAGTAATAATAGCTAATGTTACTGCCAGGCATTGTGCTAAGCATTTTATATGGTTATTACATCTAATCCTCAAATAACCCTACAAGGTAAGTGCTATCAATTCCTATCTGAATTGACTGAAATATAAAAGTTGCTTGCCTACGGTCAGAAGAAGAATGGATGGTACAGTTGAGATTTAAATCAAACATCCTTCACTAACTCCTTCAACAAAGTCAAATGTTCATACTATGTAAAAATTATAGATTCATTTCTGGCTAAAACAATTTTTTTTTTTTGGTGTGTGTGGTGGGGGGAGAGTAGTATTTTTAAAAAAAGAAAGATAAACTCACCGTTTTTAGTTCCATCAGGACTTGTTCATCTACTCCATCATCCAGAAAGATGTCTCTCACATCATTAATAACATCTTCAATCACAGATCTGTATAGTTTAGGCATGGTGTTTGTATTTGCCAAGTTCGCCATTTCCACACACAACACAAACAAGAGGGGGGCAACCCCGAGAAAACAAGATAAAAACAAAACCAAAAAAAACAAAACCAAAGTAAAACACCTGGAGGGTGACCCGAGTCACCGCACGACTGGGGGAAAAATTTAAACAAAATCGATCCTGAAGGAGGAGGAGGGAGCGGTGAGGGAGGAGGGGGCAGTCCTCCCGGAGCTAAAAACCTCGAGAATCGCCTTAAAAAAAAAAAAGCCACGACCCTTCAGGGGTCTGGGGGGCGTTGCCCGCTCCCCACCCCGCGCCAAGGAGGGAAACCACCCCCGGTGGCCGCCCCCCGCGCCGCCGCTGCCGCCACCGGCTGCAGCTCCAGCCGTCCGGTCCGCCCGCTTCTCCCCTTTATATAGCGAGCCAACAAGCTGCGCGAGCTGCCGCCACCGCCGCCGCCGCGGACAGACAGGGTGGAGGGGGAGGGAGGGGCGGAAAGGGCGGGCCAGAGGTGGGCGGGGCTGAGCGCGAGACACCGCGAGAACCGCGTGCGCAGGCGCGCCGGGGCGGAGGCCGCCGCGAGTCGCGTCATCACGCGCAGTGGAGGGTGCTGCGTGGGCGGTGCCCGGGCACTGGAGTAGCGAGTTCCGACCTCCGCCTCTCCAAGTATCGCGTGATCACGTGATTGGCACCCAGGCGGAAGTCTCCGCAGCCCTGTGGGATGAAGAACTTGTAAAGCGTTGCTGGAAAAGGCGCGAGTGGTAGTGGCACTCCAGTCCAAAGCTATCTCGGACCGCCTCCCGCCAGGCGTTTCCGCGCCGTCCGGCGCTGGAGGGACTAGGAAATATGGAAGGGGCCGTGGTAACTGCCTCGCTAGGAATGGCCGCGAAGAAGGGCCGGTCACGTGGCACGGCTTCCGGCCCGGCCCGTGGCGCGCTCGGACTCAGGGCACAGTTTTAAATGCGGAGTCATCTTTTGATTCGTGAGTTGAGTCTGAGTGTGAGCTTTGCGGCGTGAGGCGCGGACGCAGTGGGTGGGCCTTTCGGTAGCCGGTTTGTGTACGTGCTTCTAAAGGGATGAAAGCTGATTTGGGCCCACTGTTAACATTCGAGAATTAGTTACCCCTGAAGCCACCTGAGCAGCTGGTCTCCAGATTGAGTCTGGCTATTAAGCGTCTGGACTTTTAAGTTTCTCAGAGGTTCGGCTGCTACTAGACCACGTACTTTAAATGAGTTCTCACAGGGGTGGAAATGCCTAAAAGCAAAACGAAACACTAACCACTAGATATGAAACCACGAGAACTTTCCTTTTTAAAAAAAAAAATAGTGCCAAAGTACTGGTGACTCCACGTGGCCAGCGTACAGTGACTAATCGTACTGAAATGTATGCCCTTGACCCACCGACTCACGAAGCCTCCCTCCGTGATAGAGCAGGCAGAAAATGTCTGTGTCTTGGGGTGCAATTCAATAGGCGTTTGACCTGCTCCGCCCAAGCAAATCCTGCCTTTTTAATCAACATTTCAAGCAGAACAGAGAATGCTCTGTTTAGAAGGCAGAACTCACAGTACCTAATATTCTTGTCCCTAGGAATTTTGAGAGAAATGGAATCTAGTCTGGACCATAAGGGAATTTATCCTGAAAAGGCAGAAAGAACAGAATGTCAAAGTTCTATGCGGGTGAAACCGGATTTGAGGAATATCAAAGGCATCCTACCAGAGGAAAAGATGCCACCTGCCAGGACCGGAAGGAAGGGATTCGAGAAAGCACAGGACGTTATTACTCAGAAAATGGAAGATTTTGAATAGGGTTGTGAATGGGTGTAGAGAATATCCGTTAACCTTGAGATTTTTTTTCACTTCAACTGCAATCTCCTTTTAACAGTTGCTTCGCAGTTCCCTGCACAGCTGCCCGGTATTGGGCCCTTAAAGAGAAGTTCACAGGAAATCAGTGTTCTTGTTATATTTTATAAAATTATGATGCCATCAACATTTGTAATTCAGTTAATGTTCAGGTGACAGTTATCCTAACATCATACATGGTAAGCTTCACTGCACATTATTTTAAGGGGACTTCTTGTTCCCTCTTTGTATGCATACATACTCCCAACTGTTTGCACGTAGAATCCCTCACCTTCCACCTACTTTTCTTTCCTACCACTTGTATTCGTAACTAAATGGGCGGGTGTTAAGAGTAAGACCACTGCAGACAGGACATGAAAGAGAATCTATGAGATTTGCTCTCCATGGAATTAATCATCTCTAACGGGATTGGTGAGATATATATACTCCTATGGGTCTGACTTGTGAAATAATAGAATACAGTTATTGGATAAAAAAGGCAGAAAACAGTCCTGGTCTTCTTAAGACCTTCAGACTCCCTGGAGGATCTGTTTGAGTTGGCCTCTCTACACCTTCTAAATTGCGACAGTGCCTAAGCTCTTGATTAATATTTACCCGGGTCTCTTCCCTTCTTCACCTCTGTGCCTGGCACCCGAGTAGCTGTCATGGAGTCCATTCCAATTTATTGGTTTTTTGCATTCCCTCATTTAGTTGTTATGTGCCTTCGATCACAAAATATGTGTTCCAGCCTGTTTAGTTTCAGAAAGAGCGATTTTCTGATCATGCACCAGAATTGTGGGCCTGAATATTTGGAAGCTACAGCCCTTTAATTCACAAAGCTGAAAATTTGTGAGCAGAAAACCACTCCCATATAAGTTGTCTTTAAATTGGTTTTTTCCTCTGAACTTTTTATTCTTTGTGCCCTAAACCTTAGATAACTTTTCTAGTTTTAAAGTTCAGTGTACCGTAGGAAACTTATACTGGATATCCGAATTGTTAACTCATACTTTGTAACAGCGATGTACTTAGAAAGAAAGATACATAATAGTGCTTTCTTTCCTTTGTGATGAATGTTCTTTTTTATTTTTAACTAAAAATGTTTTGTATTGGAGGATAAAAGTTTACTTCTTTCTTTTCATATTAATATGCTGCCCAAACTGTATAACTGCAAAGCAGGAGAAGAAAAGAAAAATCAGTGCATAGATTTTGTTACACCATAAACAAAACACCAGACCTTAAATGTTCAAACACTTACATGTTTTGCTGTCCAAATGACAATTTTTTCAACAATGCGATGAAAGAAGAAAGTCTAAAAAGACTTAGTATGGAAATTGGCTTCAACTAAAATCTCATGACTTTCCTTCAGCCACCACTTTCTTAAATAATAAAGAGAAGGAAGGGAAGGAAGGAGAAAAGAAAAAAGAGAAGAAAGAGCAAGCTAATTTTTTGGCATATTTAGGCATCACACAGCCTTTATATGCTCAGTAGTATGGTATTGAGTACCTATGGAGGATATGAAAGTGAAGAGGAAAGATCTTGGGCCGGCCCGGTGGCGCACTGGATAGTGCGCCGCTTGGGAAGCGCGGCGGCGCTCCCGTCCGAGGGTTAGGATCCCGTATGCAGACCGGTTCCCGCTCACTGGCTGAGCGAGGCGCGGGAGCAACACCGAGGCTTGCGATCCCGTTGCCGGTCCCCGGTCCGTAACGGGGGCAACACTGAGGGTTGCGATCCGTTGCCGGACACGGAAAAAAGACAAAAGACAAAAAAAACAAAAAACAAAAAAAACTTATATCTCAAGCTTAATAATCCTAATGAAAGTGCCTATTGTAAAGTGTAGTGCATAATTACACCATTCTTCATTTAAATTATTAAAAACACTGGTGAATTTCAGTCCTACCAAAAACTTATATTCAGATTTCACCTGTTTTTAAGGCTTTACCAAAAAGAAAAAAAATAACTACCATCTTCCACATGCACTAATTTTTAGTGTGGTGGGTATAAGATGAACCTTTTGACCATATAAATTACTTCTATAGTGCGAGGAAATTTTTTAAAGTCTTTTTTTAGTGTTTTCTTCCTGTTCTAATTTACATAGTTTGAAACTGCTACTCCATGTCTTAGAACACCAACTAGCTTGCCATTATTTTCTGTATACCAAAAGATAAGCCAGCTTGTGGTGGCTTAGCAAAAATAAGTTAACATAGTGAATTAACTTACTGTAAAGTTTTGTTATAATCAGGCTTGACTCTGCCACTAATTTACTGTGACCTTCTGCCATAACTAATTTGATTTGTATCAGTAAGAGGAAATAACCACCACCTACGATTGTTAGGAAAACCAAAGGTGCTAGAAAGTGCTTTGACAAGTATTTGGTGGATGTTTTTATTATTAATGGTAAGAGTATAACAGCTACATCAATATCATCAAAGCAGGGAGAAAGTCTTTTTAATTTGTAAAACACTACCATTAGATTTAAATGATAATACCAATGGTCATTGGTTAATTTCTCCAAAGAAAGTTTGGCCAAATTTTGATACCTTAAGTGGTGGTTTCACAGCATCATTTTTGTAAGTACAATAATGATATGCTGTCATGCGATGTGACTCTTTAAGCTGAATGCTGATTTACTGGCTGGAATTCATCAACTTGCTTAGTTATATATGTGCCTTACTGTATCTAGCAAAAATTGTATATGAATTTGCCATTGACCCAGCAATGCCAATTCCAGGACTCTGTCCCACAGATATAGTTGCAAAAATATAAAAAAGATGTATGTCCAGTACTATTCATTGTGGGACTGCTTATAACACCAAAAGGAAAAAAAAAAAGGCTACATTTTAAATAAGGGGATTATATGTTCATGTCCCACAGGTCCATATAAGTTTAGTTGAATAGACTGTGGTACATGCACACAGTGAAATACTTTGCAGCTGTAACAAGGAATATTAGACCACTGTGGAATGATCTTCAGGATATAGTGTTAAGTGGTTAGTAGACCACTATGGAATGATCTTCAGGATATAATGTTAAATGAAAAGAGCAAGGCAGACAGAAGTGTTCTTTGTATGCCACCATTTAAGAAAAGAGGAAATACAAAAATGTGTATAATACACTTGCTTACATTTTAAAAAAGAAAATGGGCTGGCTGGTTAGCTCAGTTAGTTAGAGCATGGTGCTGGTAACACCATGGTTCAGGGTTCAGATCACTGTACCCACCAGCTGCAAACTAAATAAATACATACATACATATATAAATGTTTAAAAAAGAAAAGATAAGCTATAATTTAAAAAGAAAGATTGCCTATAAGGACAGGGAGAGAATAGTGAGGAGAAGACAGGAAAAGAAGCTAGATATATTTAAATATACTCTATTTTTTAAAATTTGACTCTGGAAACATAAATATTTTACTTAGTTATTAAAAAGAAAAAAACTTTGAAAAACAATTCCCCGAACTAAAAGTGAAGCAACCCAGCCTATCCAGATATTTCATAACACACAGAGAGAAACTTTTTCAAGTGAGTTTAAAACAAAGTAAGTTCACTGTATATCTGTTGTGGGATATCTCTAAGGACAAAAAGAAATGTCAAGAAAAAAATTTTTTTTATTTTTTTTTGTCTTTTTTCCGTGTCTGGCAACGGATCGCAACCCTCAGTGTTGCCCCTGCACCGGACCGGGGACCGGCAACGGGATCGCAAGCCTCGGCGTTGCTCCCGCGCCTCGCTCAGCCAGTGAGCGGGAGCCGGTCCGTATGTGGGATCCAAACCCTCGGACGGGAGGCGCCGCCGCGCTTCCCAAGCGGCGCACTATCCAGTGCGCCACCGGGCCGGCCCGTCAAGAAAAATTTTTAACTGCTCTCAGAATTTGCATTGCTGGTGGTAATCTTTGTATATATGTTCTGGTATTTTTTATGTGAAATGTGGAGGAATGAATATGAATATATTATGTTCTAATTACATAATCCTAATCATTCTTGAGAAACAGGCCTTCAATGGATTGTATGATGCTTGCCCACATTGGTGAGGATGATCTTCTTTCCTCGGTCTACTGATTCAAATGCTAATCTCTTGTCAACGTGTGGAAAAGGAAATACAGATATAAAATTATAAAAGGGTAAGTGAAAATTCTGTGGAACTGAATTTTAATTAGAAGTATCATGATGAATTTTGTCTTAAATTTTTTGTCCCAGTTTTGAAGAGAACTAGAAGCAATGACAAGCCAGTAGCAGTGAATACACCTGGTACATAGATTATTGTATTTCAGGATCAGTGCTCTGTGAGGAAATGTCTGATTCTGATTCCAGCCAAAGAGCAGGAAATGTCTTTTTCTTTTTTTTTTTTTTTTTTTTTTTTCAGCTGTCATCACAGGGGGAACGGAACCATTGACCTTGGGGTTAAAAGGCCACACTATTTTCTTTAAAAA